GCGCTCAGTACTCACGGCCCAGTAATAAATACTGCACACCTTGTTCTGAAGGTTATCAAGGGGAGCAAAACTTGTCTTTGGGACGAATTAGAGATTCAGAAATAACCCGAAGTCACTGAGCACCGACCTCGTGACTAATTCAGGCGACCAGGCTAGGTGCTGGAGGAAGGCGGCGGGCGTCCTGACGCCTGGGTCTGCTTTTTTTACATGGTTTGTGCAGTGACTCAAAGGCAGCCCCGGAGGAAAAGCAAAAGGCGCTTGGAGCAGTGGAAGGATTGTTGAAATCAGTACATAGCCTTCCAAAGTGATTACTTTTGAAGATGATTTTACTTAAAGGTTATGGCTCTAGAATTTTTTAATGCATCTTATTAATCACAAATAGCCAGATTAGAAACTGTTTAGGGACAAGGACCATGTGATATACTTCTTATATTTTTCCTTATAGTATTTAGCATTGTGCTAGGCATAATAATAGATGCTCAAAGAAATGACATTGTTTAAGATAAGTAAGACAAACAGTTTTAGGAGGGCTTTTTAAAAGAGTTCAAAACTATCTCAGTCTAATATTTTCTTGATTTATCTTTGTTATTTTCTATGTACTGATTTCTCTCTGTTTTTCAAAGTAATGTATCGATTTGTGAAAATAAAAGTCAAAATAATATACCTTTTATGGTATTTGAATATTTAAAATGTTAAGGCTATTCTTTGACATAATAATAACAAAGATTTATTACGTATGTTCCAGGCCCTTGCTTCTCCCTCTCTCTCCGTGTGAGAGTGGATGCTCACACAATAGCAGCTTGCTTAATAGGTAAAAAGATTATGGGAAAAGGGAAACGGCAAGAGCTAAGAGGCTACATGGGGCGGGGGGGGGGCATCCTTCACTCTGAATCCCTTCCCTGTGTCTGCGCTAGTGCGGACTAAAACCTTCACCCAGTTTCATATCATATAGTTTAGAAGGGGTGTAACAAATAAACAGGAATTATATATGGTAGGTGAGAAGGAAATGTTTTTATCTATTTTTCAAATATATCTCTATTGATTTCAGACAGAGGAAGGGTGAAGGAGAGAGAGAGAGAAACATCAATGATGAGAGAGTCACTGATCAGCTGCCTTCTGCATGCCCCCCACTGGGGATTGAGCCCGCAACCTGGGCATGTGCCCTGACCGGGAATCGAACCCCGATCGCCTGGATCCTAGGTCGACGCTCAACCGCTGAGCCATGCCGGCAGGGCAAGGAAATGTTTTTAAATCTAGGTCCCTTGGCTCACAAGAAGTGATAATCACTTGAGGTCCATATTAGCTAGAAGCAACTCATTTAGATTTCTAGAAAGAGTCAAGTCATTCATCAGCTTTTCATATCAACAGTTGTGATATATATCAAAAAGTTTTAAAATATATTCTCTAGGGTTTTTTAGTCATAGGAGTGACATGAATTGAAAGGTATGAATAAGGAAATTAGTAAGGAAAAATGAATTTGAGGAAGACACGTAGACTGCAAGCAACAAGGAAGGTGAGGCGTGACGTAAAGATCAGCCTGAGCAACAATGTAGGTTACACTCATCCGATGAAATGGTGTGTAGCTGCCGGGAATTGTGTTCGAGAGAGTTCAATAACTTTATTATGTGCTGCTTTGCTTTGATAACTTGTTGTCTGAGCATTAGTGATAAGACAAAAGTCACCCTAGATCTGTTAAACATGCTGGTTTCATTTGGGGTATAGTGAGTGCAATGCCCAGAATAGAATATCAATGAGATGGAAATTGATAACCCTCCCAAGAGTCAAGCAAGTATCCAATAAAGGGAACTCTTTAAGAGAAAGATTTCCTACATTGAGAGACCCTACAATTATATAGTGATTGGATCACACTTCAGATAATAAAATATTGCGGGAAAGTATTTCAAACCATGTAGTTCTAACTCCAACTTTTTAAAATGCATACTAAAAAATGTTAAATTCTTATTTATAATTTACGTTAAAAAATTTAGCATATTAAAATGAGGGTTATTTTTAAAGGCAAGGTTTCCACAGGCTTTGATTCTGTAGGAAGAAATTAAGAAAAAGGTAATTGCTTATAAAAAGTTAAAAATGACCAGTGAAACTAAGAAGAACTGGCTTGAACTAGCTCTTTCCAGTTGCGCAGCAGATGTTTACTGTACTAGGGAGTTATCAAGAGTAAATGTCCCTGTGATAAACCCCGCTGTGCCATGTGTAGAATCAGCAACGCAGGCTAGCAAACAGCTGGCACAGAAACCACATAAGGGATCGAAGAGATGTGCTGAAACCAAGGAGCGAAGTTCAGCTGGAAAAGCAATTCCAGCTTTGCCATGATCACAGCCAAAGTTTGACACCCTTATGCAAAATCATAAGCAAAGTTAAGCAACCCATTTTGGCGGTACAGTCAGCTGCCTTGAAGACAAGCACATATTTTGTTGCATCAATAATGAAAAAGCTGAAAAGAGCTTCAGATGGGTGCAGTTCTGCCCGTTAGAGTTATTTTATTAAAATCTTGAGCCAAGAAGATTGGCCATGCTGACCATGGCATTGCTGGCACCCTGGCAGTCGCACTTCATCTCATTCAAAATAGTGACATTGGAGAAGCACCTCTCCATTCGATGATAACTACACACCTTGCAGGTTCTGTGCTCTTGTACCAATTATATTCATTCTTTTATTCACTCCCTCAACCATTCACTCATCCATTCATTATTCAAATACCATTTACTTAGTGATGGGCTAAGATAGTCGCTGTACCCTTCCCAGTGCTTCCACAGTACCCTAGATATATCATGAAGAAGTACTATGTAGTTTTAATACTCCCCCGATCATTCCTATTTACTTACCTGTAACTAAATATCTTGTTAATTGTATTCCCAGCACCTGGCACAATATCGAATTCAGAAAAGGTGCGCCTGGAGAGACTGTGGAGGAAAGGGCACCCTCACCACCGCTGGTGGGAAGGGACACCGGGCAGGCACTGTGCAGAGCCCTCAACACGTTAAGGCTAGAACTACCGTTTGATCCAGCTAGACGCACTTCTGGGCATTTATCCAAAGAATATGAAAACACCAATTCAAAAAGATGCGTGCGCCCCTGTGTTCACCGCTGCATTGTTCATAACAGACAAGATATGGGAACAACTAAGTGTCCAGCGACAGATGAATGGATCTAGAAACTATGACACACACGCACATAGGCAGTCCCCTTAGAAAAGAATGCAATCGATCCTGCCGTTTGTGACAATATGGGTGGACCTTGCAGGGATCACGCTAAGTGAAATAACTCAGAGAAAGACATACCATATGATTTCATTCGTATGTGGAATCTAAACAAACAAAATATTTTAAAATGTTAAACAAAACTTTAAAATGTATCCTTGCTATTTAAAATATGCCACTTTAAAGCCAAAAAAAGGGAAAGCCAACACAGCATTTTAACTGTTTCTCTAAAAGATGAGTGTGAGACACCTATTCCAAACCACTTCCAGTAACGGCAAGTTGATAAATCATACTTTTCCAGTTAGGAGATTAAGAAATATTAGAACTATCCCACCATTCATGAACCTGGGCTTCTTTCCATGCTGAAGAAGCCTTACAAGCTGTTATAATGAACGATACCCCTATATATTCTGATTTTAAGGGCAATAAATACATCCCTGCACTCCCTTCGGAAAGTAGCTCTTTCTCTTACCTACATTCATTCCTTCACTCTATTCAACAAATATTTATTAAGACTGTTAGGAGCCAGACACTGTTCTAAGTTCTGGGACTACTTAGGGTGACCAACTGTGCTGTTCTGTCCAGAACACACCCACTTGTAGCACTGAAAGTCCTGTGTCCTGGGAAACCCCTCTGTCCTGGGTCAAACCCCATCATCCTAGAGCCTACATCAGTGAGGCGGAGTTGATGTTTTAGATGGTGAGGGCCTCAGGAAGCCCTTGCTAAGAAGGTTACTTTCAAAGAAAGACCTGGAGATAGGACAATGGCCGTAAGGATGTCTCGGAGAAGAGCAGCCCAAAAGTCCAAGCCCTGAGGCAGGCGGCTTGCCCCACATGTTCAAGGAACAGCCAAGAAGCCAGAGTTGCAGGAAACCCAGAGGGAGAGGACAGTCACAGGAGACGGGGTCTGAGAAGTAAATGAAGTCAGATTATGTGAGAATGTTCAAGTCTTAACAAGGAGATTGGTTTTTACTCTGAGTGACAGGAGAGGACATTGCAGGGTTTTGAACAGGGGAGGGACAGGTTCACTCTGCTATTGTGTTAATAAGCCACAAAGAGGGAAGAGCAGGGGCAGGGAGGCGAAGCCTTTAGTCTTTTGAAAGTTCTGGTCCCTCTCAGCTGTGCCCATGGGAACCGAGGCAAAGGTTACGGTCCAGTTGGGGGGTCAGTTTTATCTTTAGAAAGAAGGGAGGCGTGTTTACTCGTTCCTGGTTCAATAGTGACTGCTGATGGGTTCTCAGTTTGATGAGAGGGAAGCAGTTTCAAAGATGAAGAATATAAATCGTGTTAGGTTAATTGAAATGCTCCCAGGGACACGGGCATACTGCCATAGAGGGGTTAAGGGGGCGGGGGGTCTGGGGCCGCCCACCTGGCGGTGAATCTCAGCTGTGCTGCTGACCAGCTGCCCGGCCTCGAGCAGGAGACTTGGCTTGGGAAGCTCTCTGCTTTCCTTGTGTGTAGGAT